AAAAAAAAAAAAAAAAAAAAAAAAAAAAAAAAAAAAAAAAAAAAAAAAAAAAAAAAAAAAAAAAAAAAAAAAAAAAGAAGACAAACGCAAGGTTCAGAGATAATATGTCACTTGCCAAGGTAACTCAGGTAGCAAGTGGCAAATCCAAGATTCCAGGAGCCAAAAGCTCACTTATCCACAATTGCCCTCTAGTTGCCCATGACCTGGCCACACCAGAGTGGTCACAGGTAAGTGACATCACACCTGTCCTAGCTCCATTTCCCAAGGCTAAATTCCTTAGGCAGTGGAACAGCAGTCTTGATTCTGCAGCTAACTCAGCAGGAAGTAAAATGAGGCAGTGGTTAGAAATGTGGATTCTGGAGTTAGCCTGCCTAGTAGTCACATCTCAGCTCCACAAAGGTTGAGGGACTGTACCAAGCCTCCCTGCGCCTTGGGGTAGTTCAGATGGGTAATAATTGTACCTAGTTCCAGGTTTTTAGGAGGATTTAAAGAGATAACCCATGTAAAGCTTTCAGCAGACTGCCTGAATATAGTAAATACCCAATCATTATTTGCTCCCTAGCTAAATGGGAGGGCTTTCGAGGGTGGCAAGCAGTTTCCAAGCTTATCTATGGCAGGAGTTATGAACCTGGGGTCCAGGAGGTCCCTGAAATTATGTGCAAAAACCTTTTCTCTAGGAAGAGTTCTGAACCTTTATCAGTCTCATAAGAAGGGTCTGTGACCTGACAGAGGTTATGACTTTTTGACTGCTGTAGACCTGACTTCCTACCATATAAATTATTTCTGAAATAACAGGGTTAGCAAAAAAAGATCCTCAGGTTATGAGAGAAGTTGATGAATCCTCTCAGCAAGGCCGCTACAGCTATGTGGGCCTCTGGTACTTATCACACAGACCCAGAAACTGCCCAGAATTCCCAGGTGGTTCCTACGAGATTTGTCTGAATACAAATCGCTCAACAAGCAGGAATCAGGCTGCAGGAACCTTCTCTGGGAGGGCCAGCCCCAAAGATCTATTCTTCCTCCGAGAACAATCGGTGCATTTGTTTTGCATACCACAAAGTGAAATACACAGGACACTGGCCCCTTTGCTAGGAGCTCCCAAAAGCACCCGGAGTTACTCCGCCAAAGGAGCATGGCTCCAAGGTGCTGTTCAGACCTGATCCACAGCACCTGATTCCCGAAGGACCTGTCACCTTCCCAGTCTGGCCTTGACTCAGGAAAAGCCTGTGGTGCTGCTGGAGCCTTTGGCCCAGTGGGCAGGACCCATGCTGCCCACTGGACCCTCTCCGGTTGTTGGGACAACCATCCTCAGGAATTTCGGCCTCCCAGCCTTCCCCTGGGTGAGAAGGGGAGAGAGTTGGCAAGGCTGGCTGCTTGGCTGCTCTTCCAACCCCCTGGTGAAAAGGGAAGCTGAAAACTGGATTCCCTACCCCCAGCAGCTCCTGGCCGGCCAGCACACAAAACAGCTCAGCCCCAGAGGGAGGAATGTGCCAAGACATTCTTTAGGGTTGGTAACCAGAGACGCTATTTTGTCCTTGGTGGCTAAGAAATCACTTTTCTGACTGAAGGATCATTTGACTTACTTCTTTTCAATTCAGGGGAATGGGTGGGCATCTCCATGATTCAGGTAAGGAAAAATCAAGGCAAATGTGCACACACACCACACACACACACACACACACACACACACACACACTTAAGGAGTGGAATTTTTTTTAGTGCAATTTTTTGTGTCATAGCATTCATCAATTGCAGGGATAGAACTACCTTGGCAGAATTTTTTCTCCCCAACCCACCACCCCTCAAAATAAGTTTGGCTCTTTTTAGCTTTGCTAAATTTCATCTTCCTTTTTCTCATAGCCCATCTCTGTTCCCCCTTCTCCTTTCAAGGAGTCTGGAGAGGTAAAGAGAGGCAGAAGGGTTTGAAATAATATCTAAGAGCTAGCAGGCCCTTGGAGACCATCTAAACAACCCACTCCTCAAGTACTCAAACCTCAGAGAGGTCAAGTGATTTGCCCAAGGCCACACAGACAGGACTAAAAGGCAGAAATGAGGTGTGCCAGAGGGAAATTCCAGAAAACCACAAGTAGATATCCTCCGATTAGCTCTTTTCTAAAACTTACAAAGCTGGGCCACAATAATGAACCCACAGTTGACCTGAGACCCCCTCAGCACCCCAAGTTCAGGGGCCCAACACTAGCCCAGAGCAGGTGGGATGACAAAGAGGTGCAGAGATGCAGCTTAAAAACCAGTGACACAGGTATGGTGACTCACGCCTGTAGTCCTAGTACTTTGGGAGGCTGAGGCGGGTGGATTGCCTGAGCTCAGGAGTTTGAGACCAGCCTGGGAAACCCAGTGAAACCTTGTCTCTACTAAAATACAAAAAATTTGCCAGGCGTAGCGGCGTGTGCCTATAGTCCCAGCTACTGGGGAGGCGGAGGCAGGAGAATCGCTTGAATCCTGGAGGCAGAGGTTGCAGTGAGCCTAGATCGCGCCACTGCACTCTAGCCTGGGTGACAAAGCAAGACCCCCATCTCCAAAACAAACAACAACAAAAAACCAGTGATAAAAGATGAAGAAGATGAGCTGCTCACCTAAGTGCCACTATGTTTCTGCTGCCTCTCCACGGCTTGCCAATCTGCCTAAAAACAAAGGCTAGCAGGCCAGGCACTGGGGCCTTAGGCTGGCCATAGTACCTAGACGATACATACTAACACTGGGTTTTTTTACCCTGTCTTTTTTGTTTCCCTTTTATGACAATAGATATAACTAGTTTCCCATTTGTGAAAATGGTACGAAAATTTTTAAAGTGAGTTGATCTAAAGTCAAGTAGTGAGTAAGCAATAGCACAGGTGGATAGAACAAAAAAAATAATGGAGGTGGTCCATATAACACTAAAATTTGGGAGATTGTGTTCTAGCCTATCAGTTCTTCATAGAAGCTACTTGCTTGCCCTTTTGCAAGGGTAAAGAATTACTGTTGTTTGAGAGAAGCTTCCTGTTGCTGTATTAGAAGTGCCCAGATGCAAGATTATCAGTGTTGGCGGGGGAGCTCCTTTCCCTCCAACAGGACGTCCACCTGCTAACAGCACACAGGCCTCAGTAAGCTGCAGGGATCTAAACTGGGGCAGGTCACATAGACTTGAACTTACGTCTGCTCTGAGAAAAGAACAGGAGAAAAGGCGCTGCCAAGTTCACCAACACAGTAACAAAGCCGCCAACTGACCTGAGTAGGGGTGGGAAGCAGTGTGTCAGAATGACAACTTTGAAGGTTAGAACTTCAGAACTGGTGAAGAACTGGTATGCAGAATGGCAGAAAAATCAAAGTACTTGAGCAAATCACACCTCTGGGCTTCACATTTTCTCTTATGTTTCAAACGGGAGTTGGGCTCTATGTCCCTTCCAACTTTTAGGCGTCCCAATATTCCCTTCCAAGCATACCATTCATCTGACAAACAGGGAAACTGAGGCTCAGAGGCTGAAGCAGCTTGCCTAAGAGATGCTTTGTAGCATTAAATATTTCTCTTCCAGATTACATTCATAAGGCATTCAGCATGGTGCTGAGTGTAGAGGAGGCATCCAGGAAGTGCTGAATGAATGAATGAATAAATGAACGCAAATGCTCCCAGAAACTACTGGGAATCTCAACTCTCATTTTCTTTCTGCTTCTTTTCTTTTGTTAACCCACATCTTGCTACACTTCTGGGACATCCCCATCCCAACCACACAAGATGAAGAGTCCAAGAAATTCACCTTGGTTTCTTTATAGGGACCTGACCCCCAAGGTCACAGACCAGGTTTAAACTCCACATTCCCCAAGACACTCTGACCACAGACCATGTCAAAAACACCGTGGTCCGGGGACTCCAGGATGTACATGGAGAGGGTCTATGTGTGCGTATGTGCTGCGTGTTAGCAAATAAATGCCAGCCGAAACCGGGAGAAAGTCCGGAGAGGTAAGAGCCACACTGAGCCATCTCACACTCCACCTGCCTCTGCACATCATCTCAAACTACAGCGGCCTGATACCCACCAAGGTCAGTTCCCGCTGGTGCAGGGCTGAGGAGCCTCGCCCTCCCCACCTCCCCGCACCAGGGAAGAAAGGGAGGAGAAAGAGGCAAGGGACAGGGCTTTCCCGGAGGCCTCTCACCTCCATCTCCATCCTAACAGCTTCCAAGTTGCTGCTAGATTCCTAGAGAACCAGTCTCCCTCATCTGCCCTCCCCCGGCTTCTTCACTTCCTCCCCACCCTTGGGCTCCAGGCCCCCCTGGCTGCTCCTGTGCTGTTCTCGGGAGCTTCCGAGGCACCTGTCAAAAAGCACACCCCAGGCTGCCTTCCTCGGCGCCGAGTGCCCTCTCTCCTGTAGTCTCCCAAGGAATCCTCGGTCCCGACCACCCATTACAAACTGGGCACTTCCCCATCCCCATCCCCATCCGCCCACCCCCACGCTGGGGGGAAGCCTCCCTGGGAAAACCTGGCTTCTCCCGCCTGGGTCGCTCCCCCAACCCCCGCCCCCGTCCGACCTCTCTTCCTAAAGGGGGCGGGCGGGGCTAGAGCTTAAGGTCAAAACTCCGAGCAGGTGCCGGCTGGGGCCTAAGTCCTCCATCTGGGGATGGTTGTGGGGCAGCCTGGGCCAGCTCCCCGGCAGGCGCCTCCTCTCAGTAGCCCACTGAGGCAGGAGCAGCACTCCAGAAGGGTGCGGGGAGAGGGGATGACGAACTGAGGAGAGCGCAGAGGCACGCAGAGCTCCCCCGCCCCCGCCCAGTCCCGGCCGGCGGCTCCAGGGGCAGGTGGGGGCCCGAGTGGGAGTGTGAGGGCACGGAGGAGGGTCCCGGGGTCCTACCTGTCCCGCGGGTCGATCCAGCTGGTGGTGCGGTTCGTGTGGTCTATGTAGTAGACCTTGCCGTCGAAGTCGCGCGCCTCCTCCCAGCCCTCCGGCAGGGGCAGCTCCGGCCGGGGCATCTTCCCGAGCGCTGCCGGCGCTCCCCCATACAGCTCCTGGCCGCCGCGGGGGCTCAGCGGCTCCAGCCGGCCGCTCTTAGCCCGGGCGGCCGCCGAGGCACCATGATCGGGGGGGTGGCGCCCTCGGACAGGGGGCCCTACTGGGGGCCGGCCGGGGTGGCGCCGCTGTCCATGCGGCCCAGCTGCCCCGACCCGGCGCCGCCCGCTCCTCCCGCCGCCGGCCTCTCACGCTGCCATGTGCGCCCGCAGCGGCGCGGTTTGGACCCGGGTGCGCGCCCAGCCGGCCGGGCAGAGCGAGCCGAGCGCCGCCGCCGCCGCCGTCTGCCCTCCTCCGCCGCGCGGCGCGCTGCGCCCTCCACGCCGCCGCTGCCGCCGCCGCCTCCCTCTCCTCCCTGCAGCCGGGTGCCGTCCCTCCTCTCCGCTCCGCAGCTCTGAGCTCGCTGGGTTTGTGACTTCTGCCTCCGCCAGGTGCGGCTTGGGCGGTGCAGGTAACCGCGCTGCCCCGGAAACAGGAGGCGGAGCGCCGGGCGCCCGGGTTCCCGGGTCCCCTCCCCGCGCGCAGCGCCACGAGGGCGGGTCCTAGGGCCCGAGACGCGCCCCCTCGTGGGACAGTCCCAGCCGCCGGCCACCCCTACTCTGCCCCTGCCAGAAGAAGGAGAGACCGCCTCTCACCTGGGTCCCAGACCCTAGGGGGCTGGGCCAAAACCCGCTCCTCCTCTACCTACTATGCTCCTGTCTCTGTCCACTCGGAGTAGCCAGGCTTTTGGCACAGGTGGCCCCAAATCTTGAAACTCCCTGCTTTTCTGTTGTGTGGAATCAGGTGTCAGGCAAGAAGTGGTTAAATGGAAACATTCTTGCGAATTGGGAAACATAAGTTTTCCAGGATCTCTGGTCCCTTCCCCCAACACATGCACCATCTGTCTCCTCCTTATTCAACTCTCCCCACGTCGTTTCGCCCACCCTCCACCCCTCCCCACCATTTGGAAATGTAGCTGGCTCCCCTTAGGGCCCCTAAAATTAGGAGCACTGTGAATCCGTTTTCCTGGGAGGACTTCCAGAAGGTGCCAGGGAAAACACTTTGTAAAAGTAACAGTAATGCCATCGTTGTTGTTAGCTGAATTGAGGACTTACCTGTGACAGGCTGTGGCTAGCAGCTTCACAGGCGTTCTTTCTTGGGATACTTTGAGGTAGGTGTGTTATGGATCTGAGAGAAGTAGGATTATGAAAAACAGGAAAGCAAGCAAAGCAAAATTCCATCTTGAAAATGTTAAAGCGAATAAAACAATCAGAGACACAGCGTTTCTTGAGAAATTAAAAATGTGGAATTAGCTGGGTGCGGTGGCTCACGCCTGTAATCCCAGCACTTTGGGAGGCTAAGGCAGGCGGATCACCTGAGGTCAGGACTGGAGTCCAGCCTGGCCAACATAGTGAAACATTGTCTCTACTTAAAAAAAATAATAATAATAAAATAAAAATAAAATAAAATAAAATAAAATAAAAAATATATATATATATATATATATATACACACACACACAAAAATTAGCCGGGCCTGGTAGTGCAGGCCTGTAGTCCCAGCTACTCGGGAGGCTGAGGCATGAGAATCACTTCAACCTGGGAGGTGGAGGTTGCAGTGAGCGAAGGTTGCGCCACTGCACTCCAGCCTGGGCAATAGAGCGAGACTCTGTCTCAAATAAATAAATAAAAATATAGCATTAATGGCCGGGCGTGGTGGCTCACGCCTGTAATCCAAGCACTTTGGAGGCAAAGGCGGGCGGATCACCTGAGGTTGGGAGTTCAAGACCAGCCTGACCAACATGGTGAAACTCCATCTTAAAAAAAAAAAAATGTAGCATTAAATACAAAATACAAGCTAGCATGATTGAGTGAATGATCAACCGGCTGTTTGCTTCCCCATCTCCTCTTATGCTGGTGTACTGAGTGGAAGTTTAACACTTTTTTGCCCTGGCCATATGGCAGGCAGCTGGACTGGACAAATGAAGCCCGGTTCGGTGTCTCCTCTTCCCTGAGCCCCACAGTCGTCCAGAAGAGCCAGCACCCTGTGCTATATGGGCCAGGGTGTTGCTGAGCAAGAGAGGGAACCTGCTTGTGGTCTCATCTCCTCTTGACAGGAAAGACCCACCAGAGTGAGCCAAATGCCTTCTGCATAGTTAATTCCTTCCCTGAGGCCAGGCCCAGGGGCTCAGTGTTTGGCCATCCTTCATTCCATAAATTCCAGACACCAGAGTCCAGGGACACCAACCTCAGACTGGCCCTCAACACCCAAAAGCTGGAATTCCCCATTCCTTCATGGGGGAATTCCCATAGCCCTCTATACTTCCTCTCTTTGGGTCAAGCCTTCACTACATAAACACCTACTATTGATTAGAGCAATAACCCCAGAGTAAAGCCAACTTGGTGCTCGGTTCTTCGCATACATGATCTCAATCTTCACAACAACCCTCTGGCATAGGGAATGCTATTTATCATATACCCATTTTACAGGTGAGGCTCCAGGATGCTATGTTGTTGGCCCAGGATACATAGCTCATAAGACAGACCAGGTCTGACTCCAATGCAGTGTTCTCATTAACCTGTACTTTCTTTTTTTCTTTTTTGAGACAGAGTCCCTCCATCCCCCAGGCTGGAGTTCAGTGGCATGATCTCGGCTCCCTACAACCTCTGCCTCCTGGATTCAAGAGATTCTCCTGCCTCAGCCTCCTGAGTAGCTGGGATTACAGGCTCGTGCCACCACATCCAGCTAATTTTTTGTATTTTTTTTTAGTAGAGCTGGGGTTTTGCCACGTTGGCCAGGCTGATCTCAAACTCCTGACCTCAGGTGATCTGCCCACCTCAGCCTCCCAAAGTGCTGGGCTTACAGGTGTGAGCCACCAAGCTTGGCTAACTTCCTTTCTTTTTTAAATCACTCCGCAGCCCCAGAACCTCCTCATGGTCGGGATGTGGAACATGACTGATACTGACAAATGTTTGTCTCTGTTGATGTTTGCTTCATAGTTTTTTGGCTGAGAAGCAAGAGCTCTAGAATCAGGCTGTTTAGGTCCCAAGCCCGCCCGGTTTTTTAGCTGTGTGACCTCGGGCAGCTTGCTTTACTGAAGTCTCAGTCTTTGATTTGAAAAAAAGAATCACATAATAATATGGACTCCTTTGGGCTTGTGGTTAGGGCAAAGCAGGAGGAGAAATACGAGGGCTTAGCACTCAGCAGCACACCTTCATCTTAGGGGCTGCGGTGCGGTGCATTCGGAGCACCATGCCTGGCAGCAGGCATACCTCTATGAAATGTGGACCAATTGAAGTATTTTCTGTTCAAAACACAAACCCATGTCCTTTCCCCTCCTGAAAATTATGCCTGGTTGCTTGCAGCAGTCCTCCTAATTGCTGATTTTTTTTTTTTTTTTTTGGCCTTTTTTTTCAACCAAGCCTTTTTACTGGTTGGCATTGATTGTGAAGAGAAAACACCTTTTAGACTGCCAAGTCCCACTTTCGTTTTAGTCCAGCTGCCCAAACCCTGGCATTTTCCAAATGGCTTGCTTCTTTGGACCTTTTGACCTGGCCTGGGAAGCAGGAGAGACCAGAGCAGGAATTGACTCCTGAATTAAGGCCTTGGTCTGTTCGCTCTTTTTACCTCTCATCCACCCGCAACAAAAGAATCCCAGGTTGTCTCCCAGAAGCTGCAAGCAGGGTGAGGTAATAAAACAGATGCCTGCCTGCCCCCATGTGAATGCGCGTGAATCATCGCGGCTATTCTGCGAGACTGAGGGCAAACGTGAAAGAGATTAAAGGTAAAACCGGCTCAGCCACGTGATAGGCTGAATTGGACATTATTCTACAGGTGACTGAACTGCAGGAATCCGAACTGAAGACAAGAAGCCCAGGCCTCTCCTGGCCATCCTCCTGGGGCTGTGTCTGGCTGCCTGCATGTGGAGTTAAAGGAGATGGGCTTGGGCAGTGTTGGGCAGAGCAGAGGTGACCACAGGCCAAGCCTTTCTAATGACAAAGGCCACATCCCCATGGGATGAGGAATCATGGAATCACCTCAGCCTGGAACAGGCTGTCTTGTTTTTAAAAATGATGCCCACTTAAACCCTTCTGTGTGTTGGTTTGTTTTGAGACGGAGTCTCCCTCTGTCACCAGACTGGTGTGCAGTGGCACGATCTCGGCTCACTGCAACCTCTGCCTCCCGGATTCAAGAGATCCTCCTGCCTCAGCCTCCCGAGTAGCTGGGACTACAGGTGTGCACCACCATGCCCGGCTAATTTTTTGTGTTTTTAGTAGAGATGGGGTTTCACCATGTTGGCCAGGATGGTCTCAATCTCTCGTGATCCACCTGCCTCAGTCTCCCAAGGTGCTGGGATTACAGGCATTTCCACACGTCTTTTAGAGAGTTTCAGAGAACCAGAGTCACATATTCCATGAAGATGGTAAAGAGGAGAAATTAAATGTAAAAAATGGAACAGATATGTCAGCAGTCGAGTTTCCTGTTAGCATCTGTATTCTTCAGGGGGAGCGGAGGCTTTGAGAACCTCTGCTGAGATTTTCCTTCCTGCTCCATAACTGTACCTCCCTACCTCACGCCATCCCTCCCACACATCCTGGGGAATGCACACAGTTATGTTCTATGATGGAGCCGATAATGTCCCCCTTCTTTAGTCATGCATTATTTGAGGTTCATAATTGTGCTGTGGACTGTTTTTTTCCAATGATGGGAAAACACGTCCTAAGCCAGAGAAAATGAGGGTGGAAGAAACCTTGGTAACATGAGAGCCGAGGCAGAAGAGATGGTTTCTTATTTACCTCTGAGTCCTCAGTTCTTAATTCAGTGCTGGGAAATAAACGGAAACAAGTCTTGCACAGCCTACTCACTTTACAAACAGGGAAATGGAGTTTTTATGAATAATGATTTACTGCCCTGGTTCCTGCTAGTCCCATTTCTTAGATGAGCAAACTGAGATTCAGAGAGGTAAAGTGACTTTTCTATAGTCATGTAGATCTCAACTCCGCTGCTTCCGGTGGGTTTCTGCTTCTGGATTCCCAGTGTGGGCTTTAGCATGCCTGTGAAGGAGAGACTTCAGGGCCATGGTCTGCTTGTGAAAGGGGATGGGGCAGCCAAGAGACTCTCCTTGAACTCCTACTTACGTTTGGGTTGTGTATCTATTTGGAGTCGATGGAGGAGGCCATGAAGGTTGATGAGACCACGCTAAAACTGGTCACAGCTGAGCTAACAGTGAGAGGGCAGAGTTGAGTTGAGGGTTCTCAATTCTAAGAGGAAGAGATACCACCCTGATCCTCCATCACCTGCCCAGCGCTGTCCACAAGCCCCACAAAGGGGATCAGTACCAGGGGATTTCACAGACTCAGCTGTCTCTGTGGAAAGAGGGGCACTTTTCTCCCTGTATTGCCTTTCCTCCCCTCTTGTTTCCTTG